CACTATGCTCAAGGAGTTTTAAGTTAAAATAAGAAATTGATAAGAGTTTAAATGCACAATTCCTTTGCCCCACATGCTTGACAAAATTGTAGATGACAGTGTTACTCAATTGACAGCGCACAAACAGTGAAAAGAACGAAATTGAAACAACTGAATCAGTTGTGCCAGCAAGTTTTGGTGTAATGAAACAATATTAGAAACATACAAATGCACTTAGGTGCAAGTAAGACACAAGTGACTGTTGCAAGAGCGCTATTATTATCAAGTCACCAATTAGTGTTATTAATTGTCTCTTTAAAAAGAAAAGCAAAAGAATCACAGAAGCAATTAATTAATCAGTTAAACTAGTTTTTTCCACCTGCACTTAACTGTGCTTTTTGATACTGCTGCTGAAGCTTGTTTAAAAGGTCTCGTTGTGTGTCTTGCTTCTTTTCCATGTCGGTGATAGTGTCATCAATTCTCTTCCTAAATCGTAACATAAATACAGACAGGATTACAAACTACAAGACTGCATACAATAAAACAGTTACTTGAACTTAAAAATATGCAAAGATTACTTACAGTTCTCCTTTAATGTAATCCATTCGTTTGTTCACATTCTGAAGTGCCTCCTCAAGGTCTTGCTTAATTAATACTGGCCCTATTAGCTTGTAAACTTCTTGGTCTTTTTTGACAAGATCTAACTCCTGAAATCAATCAATTCAAGTAAAATTATAAGCAGTCCTTCCACTTCGGCAGAACAGAAGAAGAAGTGAGTAAATTCGTACCGATTTAACAGTTTCACTTTCAAAAAGCTGACCGCCAAGCTGTTGACGAACTGAAAGAGTCTTTTGATACTCTGTAAAGAATGAATAACAAAGAATTACAAACGAAATGTAACAAATAGTATGGAACATTGTATGAATGTCAGGGTTAGGGCACTATGTTTTCTTTGATTGAGTGTAGGAATCTTTGTAAACGTTTAATTTCATATCTTACGAGTACAAGTAGTCAAAGAAAATACAAATAAATTATGCGTTATTATTGTGCTTAATATTAACCGGGTAGCAAATTAGAGCACATGAGTAGGGAGTTAGTCCGCAAGAGAGATTCCACGGGAAAGTACCTACGTTTTTGCAAAGCCTGAAAGTTTTCAACTTCCAATTGAAGTTTTTTCTGCAGTTCCTCTGCCATGATGATATGAGGGCTTGATTATAAAGTTGGCAAAGAATTAACGTTAATTTCGTATGGTTTCGGAGGTTATTTTCCAACAAACACTTTCTTCTTCCTTGCGAGTTCTTCCTTTGCGTCTATGTCTCTACTCTCTACGAGACTAGGAAACATATGAGAAATTTGTAGACCATTTTGTCTCTTTCTAATCAAGGTTTTAGAGGTGGCTGTTGCAAAGACTATAGTTTTTGTAAGAAAAATTTAGGCTAAGCTGTCACTTTTAATTTTTTAATTTCAACATATGTCAACAACATACAGACATGGAAAGTAGTTTTGGCTTGAGTGCCTCCAAACAGCCGTCCAAAACGTCAAGAAGGTCAAAATGTTTGCCCCGTCGAGCTCAAGACTTAAGGTAATTTAATTTTTAAACATATAAGCTAAACATGTAAAGTTGTCTCGCAGAAATGGTTTCATGAAACCCAAGACCATGTAGGACATAACCTGCAATGAATTATTTCTTTTGTTAAAACTACTACAGTAAAGAAGAGTTACTTCTCACTTTGAAGAAGAAGCGAGAATGTAATGCCAAAGCTCTAACAATTGTTGAGGGAATGCTGGAACCCATTGTTACGAAGGACTGGTTCCTAGATGTTGTAAGTTCACTTTCTTTCCGTTTTCTATGAAGTCAGAATATAATGTTAAACACCCATATCATCTCATGTGTATTTTTTTTGTCACAACAGCTCCATCACATCAATCAGAGTCATTTACAAGATGTTATTGAAGAAAGAGCCATAGTCAACCTTTGTGGCTATCCGTTATGCTCTAATAAGCTAAAAAGTATTCCATCACAGCAGTATCGTATATCTACAAAGGTTAACAAGATTTATGATATCACAGAAAGAAAGGTAAATGAATTAATGCTATCCCAAAACATATCTTTTTTTAAATTCAATTCTGATCTTCATATTCTTTGCATTTAGAATTTTTGCAGCAACAAATGTTTCAAAGCATTTAAATTTATCAGAGATCAAATGTACACAAGCCCCCTGTGGCTTCGTGATATTGAGCCCAATGTTAAGTTTATTTTGATGCCATCAACCGAGTGTGGGTAGGTTTACTTTAGAATCCAGTACTTTTCATTTATTTTTTCAACTATATTCTATTTTTTACACTCAAATGTAATTGTTTCATTTTGTAGCGGAGATATTGGTGATGAAGTCAATGTTCAAATTGAAAGAGTTTCGAAAGATGAACTTAAGAAGTTGTCTGGAGAAGAGAACTCTTCCTCTTCTCATCAAGCTGAAGGAAACTTATCCCTTAGTGATGCTCTTACCAATTTGCATATTGTTGCTACAATGAGAGAAAATACCCCGTTACATTTTTCAGAGGGCTTAAAACGCACGGAATGTGAGGAAAAGAATAATTTGCACCTAATTGAAAAATCAGGAGAAAACTCTCCAGTACCTAATGTAAAAGATTATGTACAAAAGGACACATGCACAAGCAGCGTTGAGAGAAAAATTTCTGAAAAATGTGGAGGTATGTCAAGTGATTCCCATGTTCCTCCTTTAATCTCCTTAAAGGGAGATGATACTCACCAAGTTCACAGTCTTCAAACAGAAAGAGAGAATTTTTTTGAGAAAGTGATTGTTAAAGAAGATGGTAATGAAGTAAAAGGACCAGGACCAGGGTCAAATGCTCAGGATACTGCTGACTTGGCATGTGAAACCTCGTCCGTACCTGTAAGCACGTCTATCCCTTCTTCCTGTGCCCCAGAAAACACAACTGACGTTCAAAAAAGTTCTTCAAGATATGTAACAAGGAAAACTTTCAATGATAAAAAAACCATTGAAAGAGTTGAATGTTTGAATCAGAAACCAAGTATGAAACATGATAGCTCTTTATCCGGGTCCAATTCTGAGTGGGCCATCAATCAGCCCGACTGTTCATCAAGTAAAATATGTCATCAACTCCCTCAAAGCTCTAAGAAAAATAGAGACACAAAGCTTGACAATCCCGCTGATCATATAGCTTCCAAAAAGACTAAGTTAGACTCCGGGTCTTCCAAGTTACTCCCTACAGTATTTTATGTTGAAAAATGTGTACGGGAATGGTTCACTATGGAAACAATGTGCTTTCTATTTGGAGAAACTACTCTCAAAGAGATGCTGGAAAATAAAGGAGAAAGTATCCAGAAACATTATAAAGCTCTCAGTACTACTACCTGGGACCAGGAAAAACATGATCGTTTTCTTGCTATTTGTAAAAGGCTGAACTTACTTGAAATGGAAGACACCAACTTTGATAGCCAGGTTATCACTGTTTCATTTTTTGTTCTCAATATTTGTATCAAAATCTGTATCTTAAATCCACTTTTTTTTTTTGCTATTTGTAGGTGATAAAAAGTGAGAGTGATTCTGTACGGAAACCCCTCCCAAATTATGAAGTTTTGAAAAGAGAAGCAGAGGCAATGGAGCTGAAAATAAACGCATTCTACAAGGGGAAAATGGAATTAGATGAAAAGAAAGTCACATTTGCTCAGGATGTCAAAACCGATTCTTCTGATGTGAGAAGTGACAGTGAAGTACAAATTCCTCTGGTGCATTTGCATGCTCAACGAGCCCTCCGAAAAAGAATTGTGCTCGATGGACTTAACAGAGTGTTAGTAATTTGTTCTCTTTATGCTGAATTATCTGTATTCCTGAAATTTTGACAACAGTGTCCACAAAATCCATAACATTTTTATCATGAACAGGTTGCCTGATTTTTTACGTACTTTTGGTATGAGACCAAGTGAACTGACAAGTTCTATCAGAGGTTTAGTGGGCACCTTTGCCCTTTCTGCCACAAATATTACATTCAAACCCCAGGAATGGAGTCTTCTTGGACTAATCATCATCAAGCTGTAAGTTTAAATTTTCTATATAGTTTAAAAAGTTATCATTTTTATTAAATTAATAATTTTCTGTGATTTTAGGCTGACACTGAAAGAAACAAATCTGAAGCAGTGTTTACAACAGGAGCAGTCAAACACCTATTTAACATTAATGCTTATGAGCTACAAGCAAGAGCCAGGATACCTAGACAGACTTCTTTCGTGGCTTACAGATATTGATATGCTACTTGCTCGTCCTCAGTGTTGACACCAAATGTGATAGCTTTAATTTAGTTAATAGTCTAAAACAAGCAAAGTAGAGGTCTGGATGAAATATTGTATTCTATGGAAATATAACAGTTTAATATTTTTATTCTTTGACTGCTTGCCATTAAATGTAAAATCAAGAGGAAAGGAGCAGAGAAGAGACAATCCCCATGGATGCCAAACAATAAAATTTAATTTGCAACAAAACTCACATTATACAACTTATACACAGCCACCTATAAACATATCACAATAAAATGGAATAAAGCATTTTAGTCAAGAAATTTTGAAATATACAATGAATTGTATGTTATGTATTGCTGTTTTATCAATGTGCTGAACATAAAGGGATAAAAGAGGTTTGTAAAACATGGATGGAATGCTATGCATGCATTCGGCATATTGATACGTTTGAATCAAGCTAAATTCTAACAATCCAACCGTACAAAAACGCATTATTAAGTTAACAAAATTGCATTGAGTAGGGCTGACATTCAAGGCTAAGCAATGCTAAATTTTCTTTTCACTATTGGTGTTCAGCTTAATTTTTAAGTAGTGTCCAATCATATAAAAAGTGGTAGGAAGAAGAATTGGTTTTGGGATTTTACCATCCTTTTAATCTTAGTGCTGTTAATGGCGTCGTGCAGCTTCCAAAATACGAAGTATATAGATGAACAAGTTGACGATGTCCAAATACAAATTAATGGTAGCAAGAATGTACTCTTCAGGAGAAAGCTGGGTCATAAGCATCTGAAATGTGAACATAAAAGATATTAATTAATTCAAGAGGAGAAATTTTTGATACTCATCACAATTACTAGGGAACATGCTGAAAAAAAAAGGATTGTTAATCTTACCTTTGTGTCGTAAACAATAAAAAGGGAAAAAAGAAGTGCCCCTCCAATCGAAAGAGCAAAATCAAGCATTGAGTTTCCAAGCACCATATTAATCAGGAGTCCAAGCAGTAGCACACATGATGCAGCAAACAGCCTAGATAAGTAAAGTATTATTGTCATAGCATAAAAATAAATAACTCCACAACTAAATTTTAGTCTAAAATACAGTAAATTCTTGTTTCTAAATGCTTACCCTGATCCAATGGCCGTAAAATCTTTTTTTGATTGGTAAGTGAACATAGTGAGGCCAAGCACAACTGTAAATGTCAATCCTAGAGCTGTGAGGACCAGGGATTGATCATAGAATGACACGAGTACACCAATTGTGTAGGCCTGAACAACAGTCTGAAATGAATGAAGTGAATGTGTCATTCTTTATGTTTCTAGATACTATTGTGCTCTATCAGAAATAAGTATACAGATCACTTTTCTAAATTAAATTTTCACTTACAAATGCAGCCAAGAGAATAAGATTTGTTGGTGTTTCTCGTCTCTTAATATGTAGAGCAATTAGAATAACTAAACTTAGGATGAAGCTCAGAGATACAAGCCAGTCACTGAAAAATATGTCACAAGGATGAGATTTTAAAGAAAATATATGTCAACTGATAGTCACATTAATACCAGAACTTACTTTGTTTTAATAAAGCCTTTTACATGAGGTTCCAGCACACATACTGCTCCAATAACGAGACTGACCAACAATTGCATGGAGAGAAGGCAGTAAACCTTTCGTATGAACCCTGAAATAGAAGATTTTAAACGCTGATGCTGATTTGGATGCCTGATAAACTGAGAATTATTTACTTACCCATCCTGATCTTTTGCGAAGCATTGGCAACATTGTTCCGGTATGCAAAGTCATTTTCTAAGCTGTTTTCTTTTCCTCCAGATTCAGCATCTTCAAATGCATAAAGCATTGGCATCGTGTCCAAGGCAGCCATTTCTCCTTTTGATGATCAAAAGAGAGACAATAAATAAAGCTATACAAAACTACAAAATATTTGGATTCTTGCTGACACACTATAGGCTAATTTCACTTGAAACATATATTGATAATGCAGCAACGATAATAAGACAAAAAAAAATTATACACATATTTTTTAAAAGTGAAAGTGGATGGGATGATGGACAGTGTGGTTAGGTACTTAATTAATTAAGAGAGGGCTATGTCATAGCTCTTTGCCTAATTGGGAGATAAAAAATCAACGACTAAACATGACCAATAAACTGTCAGTTGTAAGTTTCAACAATAATTCAAACATATTGTACATGAGTAACCCTAAAGACTCTACTGAAAAACTTTAGAAAGCGTCAAGGACAATACAAGCAGTTATTGGTGTGTAAAAAAGAGTAAATACATACAAGTACTTTAAATTAACTTGGTGTGTACGTGGTTAAATTGTTTGTTTACAGCAGAATTCGACAGCAGAAATCACTCTAGACTAGGCCACTTTCGTAATTGCCTCGGGGGCGAACTAGTACAGCGCAGACATGACGTCACGATGTCGTTCCTTCTTGTTGTTTTTGTTTGAAGATTTAAGTTTGTGGCGCCAGGAGATCTGACAGGTTAGAATAATGTTCAATCTTTTGAAAATGCAGCTCCGGATAGAAGAAGAGGACAAAACTCATTTCTTTTTCATGTTCCAAAATCCTTTCGCTATACATTCTGTTATTAGAAAGATTTTTGTTTGCGTGTTTAGTGTAGGCTATTGCTCCTGGTTAAAATTTGTAAACAAAGCATACATATGTTTTTGTCTATATATATTTATACTTTATGACTTGTGTCATACGACATGCTATGCTCTCATTGTTGTCTTTGTTTCAAGTAGATTATGTTTTAAATTTCCTGTCAGTAAGTTTGTTTTATTTCACTTTCAGGTCATAATGTCCAATAGAAAAGGATGGAGTGACTGGCAAAATAAAAAGAATGATTGGGACATCTCAAAGCGACCAAAACTTGACATCCACAAAAATAACCTCAGCCAATCGTCATCAGCATCAACGTCCTCTGGCAACAAATCGACTCTTCCTATTAGTGCTGGCCGTGGCGGTAGTTTTAAAAGGACTAATTCAATGCCGTCCAGTTCTCATTCTTCTCCTCAGAAAGATCTGCAAGATGGATTTGTTGACATTAATCAAGAAGAGTTTGATGCCATTGAAGCAAAGGCCTTGGCAGAAGCTGCAGCAGCAATTGAGCTACAGATTGCTCAAAGTCAACAAATAGAAACATTCAATGCAGGAGTCAAAGCAAAGGCGATGCCTCTGCCTCCTGTAGATTTCAGGAACAATGGCAGCAGTAATTTTGAGAACTTGTTTACAGAAGAGATAGCTGAAGAGGATGTAGAAGAGTGCATGGCGTTAGCTTCTCAGGTATTCCGTGACAATGATTTTATATGCATATTATAATATATTTGAAATTTTGTCAACTTATTCTACATTTCCATTCTCTATTTTAGGAAATACAATCCAGTCAAAATGCTGCTGCTGCAGGAAATTGCTCATTTTCTCAAGCGTATAATGTTTTTTCTAAGGGAGTTGATGCTCACTCATCTGTTCTAGAACCACCATCTTTTAAGAAGCCTGCTCCTCCTATTAGTTTACCTAAACAAACAAATGCTTGGCCTGGAGCTCCCTTGAGATCATCTAACTTACCTGGAACAAGCAGAAATGGAAGCACTAGTGTACATCCTTCTTTAAGACCTAACTCAGCACAATCAAGGTTTCCTTTGTTCACTCTTAAATTGATCTTAAAATTAGTTTTCCCTTTCATTTATCATAGAACTATTTTGTCTTCAAGAATTAAAATTAATCTAGAACTCTTGACTCTTACAGAAATATTATTGAACCCAAAGTAACTACTGTGAATCCTCAGGCAGGCAAGTTTTATTTCCTCTGAATTGTAAAATCTGCTGTATTTCAATCCTTCTTTCTATTTCTCATTGCATTGAAAATAACTTGAAATCATTAATTGGATTTTCTGTTTTTCAACATGAAACCTACTACAGAAACTGAGGTCCGGCGTTTAGCTCAAATAAATGATGAGCAAGCTAAAGAGCTCAAACGACTGAAGGAACAAGTTAGGAATAGAGATGGCGAGGTAGGCATGTCTAGCAATGTTTTTTAGTCTTTCTGTGAACAACTCATCTGTCATCTATTTCAAGGTTCTGTTAATCACTTCAACTCTGAGTTGGATATGAGGTTTTCAGAACTATACCATAGTTCAGTTTCAGTTCTTAACACACCCGTGAAAGTATTTTGAAATTTTTATATGAGGAAATTTTACTCATTTTTACCTAATTTTGGTGTATTTCTGAAAGCCTTATATCCAACTCTGTGTTGAGTTGGCATGGAATGGCTCTAAAACTGAACTGTTTTTTATGTAACAGGCATCTATTCTTAGAAGTCAACTAAGACAAGCAATCATAGAGAAGGAAAATCATAAGTCTTACACTGCAAAAAGTACTTTAGCTACTGAACTGCAATTTAAAGAAAAATTAAGTGAAATGGAATCTCAAATAGAAGCCATGAGAATAAAGCTACAATTTCAGGTTGGTGAAATTATAGTTTGTCTCTAATCTTAAGTTGTTTTCCTTCTAATTATGATTTGATTTTTTTAGGAAGCAGAGACAAACACAGCAAAAGAACGGTATAAATTATTATCCAGTAACAGTGAAAGATTAAGACTTGTTGAACCAAAAAGCCCAGGAACTTCTTTACAAACAGGTGCCCCTACCCTCCGAACTCCTTCCCGGCAACGTCATGTCAGTGGTTTCATGAACAGGTATTGTTATAATTATGTTGGTTATTATTATGTTATCCTAGCATAATTGGGAATTTTGAATTGAACTCTATGCACATTATAATTTGTTAACCAGGTCAACGTTTGAAGAGCCTCACTCGCCACGCCGACCAGCAAAGCGGTCCAGACCTAATGATGAGGAGGATCAAGTTAACTTAGATTGTGCTCCTGTCCCAGAACCAATTTTTACTGCACAGAAACCAGAAACTAAAGATGTCGGGGAGCAAACATCATTTGACCCTTCTGACGCCATAGGTGGTCAGAGAAAGTCTCCCTTAACATGTAAGTTGTTTTTTTTTTGTTGTAATTGGTACCTTCTCTTTAATAATGTAGAACAAATGTAGATTTAAATAATTACAAAAAATAATCAATGTTTTGTTTTACTCTTATTACATTTTTCAGTGAGTGAAATGTTATCTGATAGGTTGACTGGAGTTCAACTGGCCACTGTTGAGGTCTGGAATGTAGAGTCTTGGAAAACTGATAAGAGTTGTTTTAATGAGGAAGAGAATATTCCAACCTTGCGGCTTTTAGAAATTGACCGAAAGTCTAGACCAAGTGAGTGTTACTACTACATTTAACTTACCTTACTCACCTGAAGGTAAGACCCATTCTTCAGATATGAAACTCCTCTACTTTTGAGAGCCTAAATTGGAGGATAAAAATCCGATTTTTGGGGGGAAAAGGGGGTTCTTATATTCAGGTGAATGCATTTAACAATTAATTTTCTTAAAGCTGAATCACTGAAATGACTTGATTTCTGATTTTTTAAAGAATGTGATCCGCTTGATCCCAGAAGACCACGTCTTATTAATTGTGCCCAAAATTTGAAACATTTGATGAGTTGGAAAGACACGAATATTGACTGTTCACCTACCAAAGTTGCCATCTGTCAAGTAGGTTATATTGCTTTACAAATTTCTTGTACTTTCAACCTCAAAACTGATGTGGAAATTTAACCTTTACACTTTATTAGATTGCTGAAGAATGCTCAGGTATTTTGCACTTCAACTTGTTTTTAGTACAAACTATTGGACAACCATCTGAAAAAGATTTAAGGGATAGGGACCGAGATATAATCATGAGGGGTTCTCTGATCGTCCCTCTCAATGATTTTGACCTCCTGGATGAGAAGTGAGTGTTTTATTTTTCTTCCTCATGCCTCATGTCTGTAAGTAGAAAAATTTTCTGGAGTTGTTAGTAAGAATTTTTCTACAGGCAGTGGTACAAAGAAGAATATGGGGTTGAAATGCGAAGAAGTCTTGGTATCCTAAGTGAAATTGCATTTGTTTCACCATTTGCTGCATCCCTAGTTACTGGAGGCCTTGCGCCAAGTGATACTGTAATCAAAAGACACAAATTTACCGAGGTAACATTTGGGATATGTGGTTCCTAAAACTTTGAGTTATTTCTTCTATCTATAAAGCAATACTTATTGTTTCTAGTTACCTGAATATTCTTCACTCAAACAAAGTATCCCTGAAGAAGAAGGAGATCGATTTTACATGATGAGGCTCCTCTTGGACATTTGTTCAACAATTGTTGAACTGGTTTGTTGATTTTAATATTTGGCACCTTTGCAACATAACATTCAATTCTTTTATAAAACTTAGCTGATATTTTGATATTTTTACTACTTCTAGAAATTAACTATATCCTTTAATGGAGTTCTTGCTGGCATACTTACCCTACTCAAAAATTGTGCACGACACAACGTTTTAGAGGAGGAGGGGTAAGTTATGTTGCTACTAGCTCATTAATACCATTTATCGAACTCTCTTCCGCTGTGGTCTTACATTTATTATTGCTTTGTAGTTTAACTGTATTCCTTCTTTTTTCTCAGTCAAAGATATATACTGAAAATAATTCATCATGTACTAATAGCAAGGCCAGCAAGCAAAGTCCTAGTTCTGTTGGTAGATCTCTTGACATCAGTGAGCAGTTTCCAAACAATCATGAGTAGCTTATGCACAAAATGTGGTAATGTCTTGACTCAGTTACATTATTCATATACGTAACTACTTATTCTAGGCTTATAATTTCCATTTTTTCACCACAGACAATGATGACAATATTGTTGAAATTAATGGATTATGTACATTTACAAAAAGTAAGAATTCCTCCAATGCCTCATTTTAAACCTTATTGTCAATTTTACTAATATTGAAATTTTACTAATAGTGAACTTTAAAAAATTGAATCAGGTACATGCATTCTTCAATTGTTATTTATTCATCTGAAGGCAGTCACAGAAAATAACCGTTGGTACTTAATAGACAGTGTGTCTGAATGGCTTGTAGCAGTTGTTGCTCAAGATTCTGATGCACCAGCTTGGATTTTAGCAAGTCCTGGCATCAACGAAGAGCCACATGTTGAGTGCTGTGTAATAGCAACATGCACTCTGATTCAGTTATTGTCTGATGTCTTAGAAAGGTTTAAGAGAATTCTCTTGGAGGAAGGTATGGAAGCGTTGATGATTTTTATTTTTCTATCTTTTCTCTTTTCTCTTTGATTATAATTTAGCATTGGTTTTTGTTTAGAACTAGGAAACATGTCACCATCTACGATGATTATGTCAAGACATAAAGAGGAGAGAAATTTAAAAAATATCCTAGTCCAAATCATGAGGAGAAGCATTATTTTATGTCGAAAACTTGTTCAAAATCACATGTTTCAGTTTATGGGCCGTGTAGAAGGTCTGTATGAGATCCTTGTCCACGGAATTGAGAAAAATCAGAAACACCTTAAACTTTCCTCTGATCTAGGTAAGTTCTTTTTTTTATTTTGCGGTTTTAAACTACTAGTGCATGAACCACTTCCCAATCTCTTCTATGTATGCTTATGTTTTTTGTTTTGTTTTTCAGAGTTGTATTTGGATGATCTTTCAAGAGCAGAACATGCAGCGTGGCATTCACCGAGCTCTGGAGTGCACAGCCCTCTGGCTAATCCTCAATTTAAGTTGTACTTAGATTTTGCCACTGCGTCTGTTTTGAAATAAAATGATCGTTGAATGATTATTCCTCTTTTGTCTTTGACACCGTGCTCACATTTTCTTGTAACAATCTACTACATTGTGCAGTCACAGTCACTGCCTGCGACTAGTGTCCTTCCCCTTTCGCAGCCTAAAAAGCAGGTAACTCACCCACACGACTACGGAAATTGAACTAATCCTCTTTGCCTTTGTCTTTTTCCTTCGGTGCTCTTGTTATTTCCGAGCAATGAAGGAGATGGCGGGACGGACGGCGACATCGGCTGGATGGCGGTGGCATCTTGGCGACAGTCCAACCCTTAGCCCGGCGCAGCCCCGGCGCAGCCCCTGCTCATCCCACTCATGCTCAGTCGTGCTCGTCGGAGCCCTGGCAGTGCTGCTGCCGTGCGTCGCGCCCGCGTCTCGTGCTCGAGCCCTTGCGCCCTTGCGTGCGCGTGCCCTTCGCTCGCCCTGCCCTCCCCGCTCCGGAGTGACCGGCCGGGAGCCGCCCGCAGCAGCCTCCGAGTGCGCCGTCCTCGACCATAGGGAAGGACACGCTCAGGACTGAGGGGTAGTATGTGAGTCACGGACCTCGGGAGCCAGGACTTGCTACCAGACGCCGTCTCCTGGGCCGCCAGGACCCTCGTTCGTCTGCCCTATAGCACACGTTCGTCGCTTATCTCAAGGTGAGTGCAAGGCCCGTAGAGTAAGTGCCTGCAACGGTCCCGTAAAAATAATAGTAATAATATCCACTCGCAGTTTACAAGTAGCAGTCGTTTTCTTCTGACCAAATAAAAAATGAAATCCATGTTTCTGAAAGAATAATGTCATAATACGAGATATCCGAAAAATACGAGTTGCAGCTAGTGCGAGGCAAGGATTCCCCCATTTCCCTGCAACCCCCAGTGTTCCTCTTTGACTCGATTTCTGTTTACAAACTTCGAGCTAGGTCCCGTCAGGTGAGGGTGGGGATAATAAACTGGGTTCATGGCACAGTGCGCCAGTGGCCAGTGCGCAGGCTATTCGTGGAGTTGGCAGCGCCGGGGTTCGATATGCGCCGTGCTCCGCGCCGTAAGCCCGGTGCACGCAGAACGGCGTCCTTCAGACACAGGAGCATTCCGGGGGCCATTGACGGTCTCTTAGATATTGTTCTCCCCAGTGACCGCTCTCTGTGAGCGGTGCCGCACTTCCGTTTATAAAGAACTGGCGCTCCACCGATGCAGGTTGCAGGCAACTTGGACGCCCCACTGCCCCCACCCCTCTCCTCCCTCCCCTTTACGCCGTGGTCCGAGGTCCCATTGTGAAATCAGATGGACCAAAAG